TTGATTCATAAAAAATGCTAGTCTTGAAATGGTAGATGATAATACCAATTTTATATTTTCACTAATTGTTTGCTACATCATAATAAGTTTTATCATAAAATTATATTTTGTATAATTGTTTTCCTTTAAAAATTTTATTTCGGACAATACTATATTTATCTTTCACAAATTTGATTTTATAACATAATTAATTTTATCACATCATAACAAATAAATAGATGAATTGCTTTTTAAAAATAAAAAATATAAATACTCAACTAATGTCACGAAGTAATGAATTCTTTATTTGTTTAACGTAAAATTTTTCCAAAATTTGAAATCATTTTTAAATATCTATTTTAAAATAAAAAGAAAGGTCAATTCATCATTAATAAAATTTGCCACATAAACAACCAATAAAGACTTGCCATCTCACCTTAATATAGCCCACATAAGTTTGACACTTGGTGATTTTCTAGCAAACGGAGTCTCAAATATTATATTAAAGGATTGTATTTTCTATAACTAAAAAGAAATTTTTATACAATCCTTTTTTAATTATGAAACATTATAAAAGCTTAAGTGAGATTGTAACAAAAAGCACCATAGCTTAGATGGTTAGGAACTCAACTAAATGACCAAGAGATCCTTGTTTCAAACCCCATGGTGGTATGCTTTTGGAAAAAAATTGCAAAAAAAGAACTGGCTTTGCCAAATGTCGCCACATCAGCTCGCCACATGTCGTGTTTTAGCTCTGCCAAATGTCACGTTCTTATAGCTCCGACTCTGCTTTATATATATAAAGGATTTATTCATAAAATCCCTATGGTTTGTAAAATTTGCATGTATACCTTTCCACTTGATTTTTTGTAGTACGTACGCGTGAATCTTACGCTCGATTTATGCACTAGAGATTTGATAGATAGAGGACATTGATGCTCAATTTTCAAACCACATGGGACAACGATGGGATTAGTCTATTTTATTATGACAAAAATATCATTCATTCAATTAACTTTTTTTCCAATGTCCCTTAATACAACATAAATATATTTTTTTGGAACATTAAAAAATGTCTTTTTAAATTTTTAGGACATGGAGATATTTTCTCTTTTCTATAATACTTTAATTTTTATTTATTTAGTTTTTTCATTTCTTTTTCTTTCATTTTTTTATTGTATTTCTTTTCTTATTCTTTATTTATTTACATGTCCCAGTTTTTTACTTGATTTTTAAAAAATATAAAAAATGATTTTGAGACCGATATAGTTCATGTTAATTACTTTTTTTATTTCATTTATTTTTGAAAACATTATTAAAAAATTGAAAAGAAATTTAAAAAAATCCTTATGAAAACAAGGAAACAATGAAATGAAAAATAGACAAAAAAGAAAAAAAACTATCCCGGAGTATGTTAATAGAACTATTGATATTATATTTATATTAACACAGAACCAAACTACCAAAGGTATTGCATATCGAAGTCAAAGTATATAACTTTTAACTAAGAAAAAAATGAGATGAATCAGTTGCAAGAAAGGAGATGTACCTATTGAGATGACTGCATTACAAAAAGCAATCTTAAAAACAATAAGTCAGTTGTAAAATACCACATCAACACCAACATCTATATACTCCGTAGTGTATAGGCCCCAAACATAATTGCAAAAGGCAATCAACTAGTTCGAAAAAAAAGTCATAAGAGCATTACAAAGCATCATAAAAATAGTAAAACAACTGCAAAAAATGCCACATACGCACCAAAATCTTAAACGTAAACAAAGAAAAGTAGATGGTGATCACTTCAAGATTTGCTTCGTCCCCTCTGTCAATTTAGGGTTTTTGTTTCCCGTTGTCAATTGCAAGCGTGGTCTTAGTTTTCCGTTCTTCAATTGCAAGGTGTCTTAGTCCTGTTTGTTGGAGTAGGCTCATTAGATTAGTTAGTTTGTTATGTTTGTTACGGAGTTTGTTATTTTCAGTTGTTATTTTCAGTTGAGAACTCTAATCTGTTCTGTATCATTTATATACTCCATGTATGTATCCTTACAAGATATACAGTGAATGGCATTTTCTCTTAAGTCTTCATCTTCTTCTTTCCTCATTTCTCAATCACCATGAAGGTTTCATCACTGATTTCCATAGAAATCAACATGGTATCAGAGCAGTAATCATATATAGATTCTATCTTCGATTTCCTCTCCTGGTTCTTGTCTCATTTTCCATGGCGGCCAATTCAGAAGATCATTCTGGCAGAATCAATCCATCAGATCCTCTTTACCTTCATCCTTCCGATCATCCTGGTTTGGTGTTGATTTCAAAGAAATTCGAAGGCAGAGGCTTCGGATCATGGCAAAAGGCGATGAAAATTGCTCTTTCATCCAAGAACAAATTAGGTTTTGTTGAAGGAAAGGTCATCAAACCAGCTGTGACATCTCCCTCCTTCAACATATGGCAACGATGTAACGATATGATTACGTCTTGGATCCTGAACGTCTTAAGCAGAGAGATCGGCGAAAGCATGCTCTATGCTGAAACAGTCATTGATCTATGGAAGGAGCTCGACGACAGATTTGGTCAATCAAATGGCACGCGCCTGTATCAATTACAAAAAGATATCTGTTCCATCACTCAAGGTAACTCTGATATAGCTACATATTATACAAAGCTGAAGAAGGTTTGGGATGAGTTGGCTGTGGTGAATAATCTACCAAAATGTACATGTGGAGCGGTTCAGGAACTTTTGAAGTATGAACAGGAATAGAAACTGATACAATTCATGATGGGACTGAACTCTGATTATAACACCACAGGGGAACATACTGATCATGAGACCCCTCCCTTCTGTTGCACAAGCTTATGGAATGCTGATTCATGAAGAAAAACAGAAGGAAATTCAGAACACATCTCATTTTCTTCCTGAACATGCTTCTCTGATTGCTAACTCCCAAGCATCTCATAAAGGAAAATATGAGGACAAGAAGATTGTTGTTTGTGATAACTGTAGAAAGAAAGGGCATACAGCAGCCAAGTGTTACAGATTGATTGGTTTTCCAAAAGATTTCAAGTTCACAAAAGGGAAGAGATTTGATGCCAATGTCATCAATGAGGAAGATTCTGAGTCATATCACAGAGATGATTCTCATTCTGAGGCTTTATTCACTCCAGAACTCTGCAGCAAGTTCATGAAGTTCTTCAGTACCATGCATGGAGACAAAGGGGATATGGGTGGATCCAGCTCTTCTTCTCAAGCTTTGTCTGCACATATGGCTGGTATGACTTTGTTTTCTTCAATTTTTTTGACTAAGCATATGTGTAACACTGTGTGTAAAATTAATGACTATGCTTGGATTTTAGACACTGGAGCTACTGACCATATGTGTGGAAATTCACATCTTCTCACTAATCTCAAAACCTTGTATGTTCCTCATCATATCACTTTGCCTAACAATCAGCAAATCAAGGTCTATCAAACTGGTTCCACTGTTTTACCATGTGACATAACACTTCAAGATGTTCTTTTTGTCCCTGATTTTCAATACAATCTCTTGTCTGTGGGAAAGTTATGTGGTGATTTGAACCTTACAGCTTGTTTTACACAAAATACCTGTACCTTGCAGGCCTTTCCAGGAAGAAGCCAGTGGCTCTTGGTAAAAGGCAGGGTGGCCTTTATATCACTGAAGTCTCAGATTCCATTTCTTCAAATAAAACTTCTGTTACCCATTATCAATCAACTCTTTCTGATAGTTTTGATGTGTCTAGGTGTAATAAAGCTTGTAAAGTTCTCAATGTATAAATTTGGCATATGAGATTGAGCCATTTACGTGTGTACAAGATGAAACAAATATGCTCCTTTGATAATGACAATTTCCATTCCTTATATTGTTGTGATGTTTGTCCTCGGGCTAGACAACACAAATTACCTTTTCCTCATAGTCAAAGTCACTCTAGTCATATTTTTGAATTAATACATCTTGATCTTTGGGGACCTTATCATACTAAAACTTATAATGGTTTCCAATATTTCTTAAATGTGGTGGATGACTTTTCAAGAGCCATTTGGACATACCTTCTTTCAGCCAAAAGCAATGCCCCTGATCTTATCCAAACCTCTATTGCCATGGTTAATACACAGTTTGGAGTCCAGGTTCAAACTATGAGATCTGATAATGCCCTAGAATTAGGAAAAAGTACTACTGTTTCTGAATTCTTTCTTTCCAAAGGTATTATCCATCAAACCAGTGTTAGAAGTACTCCTCAACAGAATGGGATCGTAGAAAGAAAACACAAACATCTCCTTGAAACATCCCGGGCTCTCTGTATACAATCCAATTTGCCTCTAAAATTTTGGGGTGAATGTGTTCTTACTGCTACCTATCTCATTAACAGATTCCCCTCCAAACTCTTGAAAGGAAAGTCACCATATGAAGTCCTTTTCAACAAAATCCCACAATATGACCACCTGAGAGTTTTTGGTTGTCTCTGCTATGTTTCCACACAGAAACAAGGGAGACATAAACTGGCACACAGAGCCTCAGCTTGTGTTTTCCTTGGATATCCTTATGGAAAGAAAGCCTACAAGGTTTATAATCTCACCACTCACAAAATTGAAGATTCCAGAGATGTGGTTTTTCATGAACACATTTTTCCTTTTCAAAATCATCAAGTTTCCAATCTTTTGTTCCCTTCCAATATCAATCTTTCTCATCCTTTAGAGGACTCTTCTGATATAATACCTCCTTCACCTACTATTCCTGTATCTTCAGTCAATCCCTCTTCTGTTACTGCATCTCAGTCCACATCTTCACATTCTATTCCCTCTCAACCTTTGAGGACTTCTACAAGATCTCACAAAACCCCTACATATCTCCAAGATTATGTCTGCCAGTCTTCCACACATCTTTCTTCTTCAACCTCTGATCTCCCTCCTTTTGAGCCTATTTGTCTTCATACTCTTACCTCTCTTTCACCATCTTCACACATATGTTTCAGTGCTCTAACTCAAGCTAGTCAATATTTTTTGCACAATGTTTCCCATATGCACGAGCCAAAGAATTTTGAAGAAGCCAATGCCCATCCAGCCTGGCAGAACGCTATGGAAATGGATTTTAAGGCATTGCAAGAAACTGGAACATGGGAGGTTTGCAAGTTGCCCAAAGGCAAGAAGGCCAGGTTAGTCATAAGAGGGTGTACACAGAAGGCTGGGATATACTATCATGAGACATTTTCCCCAGTTGTTAAAATGACAACTGTTAGAGCTTTGTTAGCTGTTGCCATCAAACATCATTGGTCCATTTTCCAGTTGGATGTCAATAATGCATTCCTACATGGTGACCTTGATGAAGAAATATACATGAAGCCACCTCTAGGACTACATCTCACCAATTCTGGTCTAGTTCTCAAATTAAAGAAGTCCTTATATGGTTTGAAGCAAGCCTCCAGGCAGTGGTATGCAAAACTTACATCTGTTTTGAGGTCTAGAGGTTACTTCACCACCAAAAATGATTATTCCCTATTCAGCAAAAGAGAGGGTCAGTCAGTTACTCACCTTGCCATCTATGTAGATGACATTCTTCTCACAGGGAATAATCTTCATGAAGTTTTTAAAATCAAAGATTTGGGAACCCTTGGATATTTTCTTGGTCTAGAGGCTGTTTTTGAGAAAGATGGCTTGGTTCTCACCCAAAGAAAATTCACAACTGATCTTCTAAAATCTTCTGTTTGAGGTTTTATGGTCCTATATTGAGAAAATCATTATTATGTTTTAGTCTTATTTAGGTAAATTACCCTTTTTTAAATTATGTAGAAAGACTTTAATTTCAAAATTTAAAAAGAGAAAAAAATGGGGCATATTTGTCTTTTTCATATTCTTTGTCGGCTACAGATGAATAGAAAATAGCTTGGGAGCGAATGTGCATCCTTTAAAAACCATAGGAATTT